TGTGCCGAAACTTAAGTAGCAGAGTACTAAAGCAGATGAGAATAAACGCAACATAAGACACATATATTAATAAATCTTGTTCCATTTTATATCGTGAAGTTTACAAGTACTCATTCAAGAACGAACTTTTATTATTCATTGATTACTATAAATTATTATTATTAATGACATACGTTTTCGGTCTCTATTCTAACATCTTCGGATTTATTTTTACAGTGTGCCACGTTTGGTTTTAATTTTTTTTACCATTATCTTCTAAAATGTGCAATTTCATATATTAATAAAATATTATTAACTATAAGAAAGTATCCCTTATTTAAAAACAAATTTGTGTCATGTTTTAAATATAAAAATTGTTTTATATAAATACATTGTAAAATTTGGTGTTGTAAAATTATATCTTTCTGACTTTTGTCGACAACAGTCGTTGGCCATAGTCACTGAACTGTGTTTTTATCACGAACTGTTTGGCTCACAATTTGTTTTGCTGGTTTTATGTGCTGTTCTTATAAACTCTATATATCTTTGCTGACGACCCAGGTCACTTGAGTCTTGAAATGTTGCATGAGTTGATACTTCCTGTTGGTAAAACTCTTGAATTATGTATTGTTTCTTTCCTATTGTTTACACAATATTCACCACACTTACTAATTTCCGCAGATGTGAATGTATGTTGCTATAAACTCTGACTTATGTAAAACACGTGACACAACAGTAAATTAAATGCTCATAATGCTGTGTATCGTGAAATGTAACCTACGATCAGGCAAGCTGGCACACGCAACAGGACAAAACAGTGTTAATACGGTTATTCATAACTCCAAGCAAAAAGTTAACAGCGACACAGAAGTTTCGTAGGGCAAAACTCTATGAAATAATTAATAGAGTAAAATCTAGTTTTGAGTTTTAGTGACTCTAGTTTGGCCTACAGGTTGTAAGTAAAAGAAATGTAGCTTTCTCTTGCTGCGAAGGCATAATAATTATGGTACTGTGTGTTTGTATCGTTGGTCATAATGTTAATTTATTTCACGGTCAACGTATTGTTTATAGTGACGATTTAAGGGACAGATATTACACAGTATACAGATATGACATTTTTAAACATTTTTCCAAAAGTAAACAGTGATCAAAAATCATGCAAATAAACTTTCATACAAATTATTCTGCGACGTAATTTTAACCCTTTCATTACTGTAGTCATCAAGTACCAACATTCACTTATAGACTCGCATCAATATTTGAAGAATCTCTATTTCAGAGGGAAACATTTCCTGCCTTCTTACGTAACAATCTCTTAGTCCGGTGTTAAATTCAAGCATTCACAGAGTTGCATATTACGAAATTATTTAACAGATGGGGGCGAATAAAACTTATCTGGAGTCGGCGCAGCGGACACGATAATTAGACAACAAGGATACCCGTAACTGGCAAGAAAGTTTAAACATTTAGTAAATTTCTATCTGCACTCCATTCTTTTCATAATGTAGTTGCAGCATGACTAACACATTCTAGTGTAGTGCCGAAATAGAATATCTACTTAAATAAAGTTCTTAGGGATGAAACATGCAGATGGCAAGAATGGGGAAGAAATCGGTATGTTCATTGGAGGTAAACGGAGAAATCCCTCAGTCAGACTGCAGGTCCTCGGACGGGATTCAAACCAGGTGCATGTAGTCAGAATACCAATAGATACTGAAATGTCATGTGAAAGAGAGAATCGTCAGGTAAATTTACGCTGTGTAAGAAAATCTGCCCCTAGCAACAGCTCCGTGACACAACGCGGCAAATCGATGCAGCAACAACAGGTGAGTTCGGTTCAGTTCAGTTCCCCGTATTCCGGGCAGGGTCCGCTCCGCCGTATTTAACAATCAGAGACAATACTTAATGCAGTATCAGCCGTAAAGACCAACTTCTTTAGAGTACAGTCATTCATAAATGCCCCCCCCAAACACACACACCACAAATGTTTTCGGTTCTCTGAATAAACATTTCGATCTGAATAACGGCTAGCATGACAGGTTTTATTCAGTCGTTCCAGACAAATACATGCTAGCATCTTAAATCAGGCCACGACCGCTTCCGTCAACATATTTCACAATCAATATTTACTAATCATCCTATCATCCGACACTGCAATTCGGTCTACTATAAGGGTCATAAATTAATCAATAATAATTAATAGAAAAGGGTGATGTGTGTTTCTGACAGGCAAAAACCGAGAATTTCAGTGATAATCAGATTAACTCCTTTGGTAAAATTTTAACTCGTATGTAAGAAGTGAGGAGACAACTTGACAAATTCTGATGCAAATTGGAAAATTTTATTAATATAATAATATATATAATAAGATGTGACTGAAATATACTGGCTCTGGTCTGGTGGGAATCTTTGTTACATTTATACCTGTTGGAGCAGTCAATCTCTGAAACGTAGTATATTTTAACATTTTAAAATTTTTATAAATTTAATGAAAACAACAAATAATATCTAAATTAAATATCGAGATAGTTTTCTTTTTTTAGTTTCTTCCCTTATACATCTGTTTAGTTCAAACCTATTCACATCACACTAATTGAGTTGGCATCTGCCGTTGTTAGCTATTACACTTAGCGCTTGTTAAACTTGTTATTCAGTTTGTTATAAAGTTACTTCACATAATCACCCTGTCCCATGGCAACAGGCAGCAAAACATGCGACATCAACTCTCGATACTCAGCACAGCTTTGCACCATACCACCAGTCCTGAAATGTAAACTTCTGCTGTTCGCCTGCTTGTGCGTGGCGTAAACAAACATCCCAGGCCAGACCCGTGTCTTCTCCAATATGGCTGTCAGACGACACGTGTAAAGGAAACTGGTCGTGTCCTTCCGTCCAGTCGATTCAACACGAGAACCATTGGACGGATTTGGACAAAATTTGATGTGCAAACGTCTCAGTACATAAAGCCCGATTCATGGAATTACCCGTAATGAACCCAAATAAATAATGCATGGTTTTCTCAGATTTTTCCATATATTATTTAAGGATAATACAGTAAGCGGTGCTAATGTTGATCCCACCTCAGAAGTTCGTATTTCCGGCATGTTGGTATTATCCATTGTAGGAAATTATAAAACACGAGTTTTGGGTCGTCTCTAGTGGCATGACGTTCATACCAAATTTTATAAAAATATGCCCGCCAGTTCTATAGTTGAATAATAAGTGCAGAAAGGCAGACACACATGGCCATCTCTATTAAATTACATTTATTTTCTGAAAAGAGAGTAAATAACGCAAAAAATTTTACGACATGTCCGCTTACCGTCTACGTTAGGCCAATGGACCACATTTCGAATATCCCAGCGCTACATTCTGCTCGTTAAATCTACACAGCTGCAAATCCCTTGCCTTGAATTCCTGAGTTAATTCACTACACATTTACACGATCTCAGGAAATAATTCGAGTGTTCCAGAGAACAGAATGAAATTAAACAGCCTTCGAGCTGGCATAGCGCGGACAATAAACAATTAAAAACAGTTGACAATCACAAATCGTAGTTTTGGTCACAGACCACAAATGTCGGGACCCGCGTTAAATTGAGACGGGGGGGACAGACTCGTGTAATTTGTTTCTGTTTTTGAAGTGCTCGAAATTTCAACCATGTAAACATCACAGCAAATGCCTCTATGTATCTGCCTGCCCGTCTGTCTATCTGTCTGTATACGTGAATGCGTGAGAGTATGAAATAACCCCCTACCCCCCACACAAACACAGTGTCCCCTCGTACTTGAAACCATCAACATTTCACTTAATTAACAGTTGGTGGAGCTCCTGTCAGGTTCCAGGCAAACGATAAAACATGCCTCTTTGTTAGTCAGTTTGTCTTGTGCGTGACTTCGTCCTTGTGTCTGCGCGTGTGTGCCTGAGACTTATTAATCTATTTCATGCCTACAAATACGGGGCCTAAACAGAACAACAGAAAGGTGTAAGCTTCTAGGATACACAACTTATATTTCAAATTAATGGCCAATCCTGGTCTAGAAGTCAGGCCGTATGAAAATACAGTATAACTTAATTCCTTCCCCAACAATATCAAGGTATTTTAACAATAATAATCATATTATACCACTTTTGTGTTATGTGGGCCTATAGTAATTTTTTTTGTCTTCCTAAAATCGACGCGCTACTGAACACACCGAAGCATTCGCCACTTTTTCAATTGCGTTGACTCAAAATGTGCATAACTGCAACGATAATCATGCTACATACAGACCTATCACACTATACCTAATGAGAATTAAACATTTGACATATCAAAGAATGTTTCAAATAAACATTGAAGAGACTAATAAAATCTCAGTTTTACGTTATGTACTAATTAACATTTCATGAAACGTTGGTAAACATCGACCAGACTACACAGCGCAACAACCCAGAAGACAGAAATCTTCGTTTCATGAAATGTTTATGAGAAAATTGGTAAAGTTCTGTTTCAACTTCATCTAATGTAGGATTATATTCGAAAGATATGAACCAAAATTAAGCTCTCCTGATATATCTTACAGCAGACCCCAAAAATACTCACCAGATTTAACTGAAATCTGTGGAGTATCTCTGCAGATGAATCGTGCCCACACAGACGCACTGAGTCAATCGTTTCATGCAAACACTGCGTGATGGCTGAATTGAATTCTATTTCCGTGTATGAGGTTAATATCGTTTGCAGGAGGGGGGGAGTGCTTTGTCCGGACTGCGGAAGAGGATTTGTAACTCCAAAACCCATCATGCACCAGAAACAATAGTGTGGATAGTGTAGCCGATGGACTGTAACAATTCATTATGGCCGATGCGCCAAGAGGCGTACAAAAAGTACGAACCCCCACCTGAATCATATTTCTAAACATGGGGATGATGTTCAAGTGCTCGGATCTGCATTTGTTTAGACACGTAACACCCGTAAGCCCTTCTCATTGGACACCAAACATATAACCTCTGCAAATGAAACAGCGTTTTTAAATAAGCCAATAATTAATCATGCAAATTGATAACAGTAGTTATTACGGTGAATAGCCGCACAGAAGCGCGTATAGTAGGATGATAACGCAACTCTGAGATTCATCACGGACGCTGCGTCTAGTTAATGTGAGTGCAAAGTAACATGACTTCAGTAAACAGATGGCTGTTTATATGAGTCTGTCATGATTAAGTAATGCAGCCCGGACTGGTTCGGGTCCAGAGCGGAGGCTGGGGATAAGCCAATCATGACGATTATGAAAAAGTCCAGAGTAGCCTTATTAAAGAACAAAATTTATATCACGGACTAGCAAATGTTTGAAACCTTCGCTTCCTAAATTAAAGAAAATACACGTCATAACCGTTACAAACAGGCTTGTCGTAATGGTATTTTGGAAACGTTTCGCTGTTTATTCTGAGAACAAAATTAAACCCACAAATTATCTAAACGTGAAAGCAAATGATACACAGTGAGACCTACGACTATCCTACAAAGGATTAAACAATTTATAGAATAGCAGCCAAGGCTCTTTTCTGTGACTAGCAGACTTCCCTCAACGTTACTGTCGCAAAATTCGATAAATGCTCACATTTCATAAGAATCCTTAATGCCCGGAAGAGTGTCACAGCCTGATCATTCCATATGTATCGCTGAATGTCATAGGAAAACTTATTACTTTTCATCAGGAGTCAAACCCAGGCTAGTGTTCGAGGTAGCTAACTTGTCTCCTGTAATCTCCTCACCGAAACAAACAATTCTGGTCTGGGTTCTGCTCTTATATCGTGCTGAGTTATAGGTACAGAAACCATCTTCACCGGGACTCAAACTCAGGACAATTTTTAAATTATAACCTCTGTATTTAATCTCTTCGTTGAAATAAGCAACACTGGTCTTTAAGCCGTTATTCTATTGTGCTTATTTTCCGAGCTACAGAAACCACCGTCATCAGGGCTAGAACTCAGGACATTTTTTGCAGTTTTGACCTTTCTGAAAGTGTTTCCTGATTTCAATGCATAGAGATACCAAGTTGTATTTTACTGATTTAATTTCTCGAGCCATAATAAACATGCATACACACATACAAAGAATTAATTCCTATTATGGCTTTCGCTTTATATGGAATCCTGCCGGCCACGAGACGACCGACGGCGTAGAGTTGCCAGCGTCGTATCACATGACGTAATGAGTTAGGTTAAGGTTAAAATTAGGTTTGTCTTGTGTTATCATTACACCCATTACGCATTGTGAATTGTTAATTAACCTTTCCATAATTTGGACTCGATGCCTTGCAGACCTACATGTTTGAGGCAGGCAAAATATTAGCTTTCTGTGATACTCTTATAATTACATTATGTTTGTTCGTGTCCAGGGTTCGGTTCCCGTGTACGGGGCTACAGAGCGCAGAAATTGAGGTACTACTGCAACTGAACATCAGCACATACAACCCTCTGCACAACGAGACGTCCCTCAACTTCCGTAGGAACAAGATCTGCCTGAAACGTGAGTGGTTACAAGGTCTAAACACCTGTCACAAACACTTAACGGATCGCACGCTAAAATAATTGGTGTACAGATTATCAGTTAACTGTTTTACAAAATGATCTCGGAGATCGTTGTGCCACAAAGCGGTAAGTCGGTCGACTCAACAGCGCTTAAACGCCAGATAAATCGGACACCCTTCACAACCGACGAGATGCTCATAATTTGCACTAATGCTCTTACCTTAACACTGCCACGAATTAACATTTACCATGTTGCAAACGATATAATATGTGAAGGACAGCCATAAGCTGATATGTGCAAAAATACAATTTCACAGCAAACAATTTTAAAAAGCATGAATTATTCTAACATAAAATTAAGTTTTCTAGCTATCAAGTTACAATTCTCACTAGTAGAGGTTGATAATGTTTTTTTTGTTCCCATATCATGTTCTTCCTGGCAGAGGACATCAACACGAGTTTAATTCCACAATTCTTTAAAAACTGGCAGAAAATGCACCTAACAGCTTTTGATATTCCACCACGGATGTTGTTTAAGACACTTTTATTTTGTGGTATAAACTCTTTTCTTTCATTTAATCTCAGTAAAAAGAAATCGCACGTCATTTCACATTTCAATTTGTCAGTTATATTCAGCATATCAGAGGCTGTAACCAGTACAAAAATTTGGAATACTATCGCAGATGTGAGGATAATATTAAAATCTGTCTTAGAAACAATGTATACTGTAAAGATATAATTTGGATTGAAATGGCTGGGCGTAGAGTCAAGCGGCAGGTTTATTGAACACGGCAAAGAACCTACAAAATTTATTGACAACAATTTAATGTAGGGTATTACTTTCTAGGATATCGTCACGAGATAAAGAGAAAAGTTCTCACGCTGCTGAGATATAAAATGTCCCGCCGTCCTGCATCTCAGGGAATTTATTTGCAAACTCAACTGAACAGACTGACGCCGTACTTTTAGTGTTTTGTCTGACTCAAAACAAGGGGCGAAAAAGGAGAGAACGCAGGAAACAGAGGGCAACTCGCATTTATTTCTGCCCAGATTTACTTTAAAAGTATTCTGCAGTTCTGGAGCAGTGCAGGTTCACAGTTTAACAAGAAATTTTAAGCCATTATCTACACTTCAAGATATTGGTCCAGTTGCCCCTTGGCCAATGTGCTATCTGTGTCAAAATACTGCCGTACAATAAATTTAGTCTGCTGGTACTTAAACTTATAATCCTCATGCAACGTACTACTAGTTTTTAGTATGAAGTTCTTAAAATGAGCAAGCAGGAGGGAGGTTCTTGTGTACGTAAGATTTAATCTAAAATACCACTAAAAAAATCGATCTGTATTGTTTCAATCGGACCTCTAATCTACATGATTCGAAAGTCGATATTTATCTTTTTCGTACAGTATTCTTATTACATATAACGGGGATATTATATAAAATATAATATTTCTTCTTATTATGTTCGAAAGTCTTTATAAAAACATTATTTATATAACGTAAAAGTACGTAATGTAAACTGTGCAGTTGTCACTCAATTATATATTTCAAAATTTCAGCGTTTGCTTTAAGGAACTGAGTAAAATCATAAAAAGACTCTGAATAGGCAGTTTCAAGTAGAGATTTGAACCTGGCACTTACAGAATATGAAGCAGGAGTATTAGCCACTCAGCTGAGACATTCGGTACACAGACAGAATAGCCGTGAATTCAGATAAGATGAAATCATGTTTTGGCATATTGACTGTAGACAAATGATTCATTATCAGGGTCGCTAAGCAACTGCCACGCCAGGGAACACTCGCTGCCCATGCTCCTGTCAGAACCAGGTTCCAGTGGATGGCCGTGGCTGTGTGAATTAATTTTGCAGGACTTGCCTTACCACAAGGCATTCAGCAGGGCGTGTGGGATGATACGAAAACAGAAGGAAGGAATAAACAGAAAAGAAGCAGGCTAAACAGAAAGAACAAGTAGAACAGAAGGGAAGAGAGAAAGACGGAAAGAAAAACAAAGAATGAGACAAAGATAACGAAAGAAGTTAAGCTTCATTTCACTTTTCAGAACAACAGCAACATCAATCACTATCATTAATTAAGTGGGATATGAGGTTTTCAACAACGATGGGCCCAAGTAATCATAGCCCTGATAATGGAGGCAGAAAGGGCCTGTGAAACGTTGGTAAACTTTTACCAGACTACACGCGCTAAAACCCAGAAGACAGCCACCTTCAAAATCATTAATTCACGTAGCGCGTAAAATGAACCGCTTTACTGATTAAAAGAGACTGTATTCAGGTCCCTTTACAAATCCCATATTTTACTTAGCAAAATTAGGTATCCTGTAAAAGTTTTTAAGTCTTCTGAGATGTTGCGCCGTGTAGTCTCGTAGAAGTTTATCGATGTTTTATCGGCCATTAGTCATCGCCCTTATGATGGAGGCAGTAAGCACCTGTGAAATGCCGGCAAACTTCTACCACTCTGCACGAAGCAACATCCCAGAACACAACCATCAATCTCGGGATTTTTTCGCGACTCTAGTACCGAGATTTTCCGCTAGAATCGGTAGTGCCGAACCGTACTAGAATGTGCCGCAAGTAACACAAGTGACCTGGGACCCACCCCACCTCTGGCAATCAATAGCACTTACTGAGAACACTAACGTCGGGGACATCAGAGGTTTTAAGCTAATTTCTTGGACAACTGTGATGCAGAGCGTTCTGTTATTCATCTCCAGTTGACCAATCACAACGTATTTGAGACTAACAGCATAGGAAACAAAACACGATCACGTCGCGTACAACGCGCACCTGCAATACAATGCCTCCCACCTGTTGGATTGTTGTCTATCCATTAGGAGCTGAGTAGCTTCTTTCTGCTTCCTGTCAGGAACAAACCTCATGGCTTCAGCTGAAGATTGAAACTCGTGTCCTGAATCGCAAATTTCCTTTCCCTGAGTTTCTTTTTTTTCCCCGAAACGTGATAAATAGACAAGCCTGCAAAAAGAGCTGCCCGTCAGCTGCAAGTTTTAACCGTATTTTATACGACCTAGATACACTCTTGTCTATGGGTTGGAAAACTCCATTCAACGCTGGAGCTAACTGCCCAGCCAGTCTCTTGTCCAGTGAGTATCGAGAGTGAGGATGATCGTTCACCTCCAGCTAGTGTTGAGGTTAAGAAAAAATGAAGCAGTAACTCCAGGTCTGTTATAAGTATTCACAGTGTTTCAGGAAATAAATCACTGTTTACAGTAAGAATAACGCAAAACCCACAAATAAAAAATGCAGATTTAATAACTGTTGAAGCAGGTCTCTGAACATTGTGGGGTTAAATAATTCACGACCGGCTTCTTCCAAATTCATATCCATCATTCATGATTACCTTTCCATATCATTCGTTGCTAACATTTACTTCTGCACTTAAAATAGCGTGATTAAATATCACAAGAAATCACGTATCAACCTACGTAAAACCAAGCATTTTAGAACTTCGCATTAAAACTGACCCTGAATATAACTTGTCATCATGGTCACTCGTAGATACAATTGTGTTCTTTACAATCCATTTTAAATCTCATCGTATTTATTAAAGAACCATTACAATATTACTGCATCATCTTTCATTTTTGCGTTTAAAATAATTTAGATTTTTCCTTACCCGTATCCTTGCTACATGACCAGTTCATCTTAATCTTCTTAATTTCATTAATGTAACATTACTAATTAAGCAGAATGACTCACTAACTTTCTAATGAAGTACTATCCTCCACTTTTCACTTTTTTTCGGGCTTCGTTATAAAAAAATCGAAAATCCAGGCATAAATATAAGAATAAATTTAAACATGTGTAGACAGAAAGTGACTAACAAAGGTCAGAAGAATTTCATTGGTAACATTCCGCCATTTTGACATTCCACAGCACGTAATGTCCTCCAGTTCTCCGGAGAATCAATCCATCTCCTTCCTCCAAAATCCAGACCAAGTCTTTAACCAGAAACTTTTTTCCTATCCATTGATTTGGGAATTGGATCGCTGTGGCTCAAGTACAAGGGGGTGAGTGGCAAGGGGTGGGTGGGGATGTTTCTTGTGGTTTGATCGAACCAACGCAAGAAGGGGAAGCTCCAGATTGCAGCTTCTTGTAGTGCGCCGAACATGGGGTAACACACTGAGTCGTGTGTCATAGGATGCTCCTAACAGCCGGTATTACAGAAGGCTACATCACCTCTCAAGAAGGCAGTACTGTGTTCTCTGCCCCTTTTGCAGAGACATTTTTCACTGATCCCGCAAATGACGACCAATAGCAGAGAAGCGAATGTGAGCTGGCATCTTTAAACCACAGACTCAGTAAACCTGTACTAAAGAACAGGTCTTTTAACCATATACGGTTTTCTTGTTATAAAAAAGATAGTGTGTCCTTTAATTTGCGTTTTCATAGTTGATCGGAGTTTGCATTGTTGAGCACAGCTGCAACAGGTCTGTTATAAGTATTCACAGTGTTTCAGGAAATAAATCACTGTTTACAGTAAGAATAACGCAAAACCCACAAATAAAAAATGCAGATTTAATAACTGTTGAAGCAGGTCTCTGAACATTGTGGGGTTAAATAATTCACGACCGGCTTCTTCCAAATTCATATCCATCATTCATGATTACCTTTCCATATCATTCGTTGCTAACATTTACTTCTGCACTTAAAATAGCGTGATTAAATATCACAAGAAATCACGTATCAACCTACGTAAAACCAAGCATTTTAGAACTTCGCATTAAAACTGACCCTGAATATAACTTGTCATCATGGTCACTCGTAGATACAATTGTGTTCTTTACAATCCATTTTAAATCTCATCGTATTTATTAAAGAACCATTACAATATTACTGCATCATCTTTCATTTTTGCGTTTAAAATAATTTAGATTTTTCCTTACCCGTATCCTTGCTACATGACCAGTTCATCTTAATCTTCTTAATTTCATTAATGTAACATTACTAATTAAGCAGAAT